CTTCTGCGATTAACATGATTAATGTGAAGGACGTATGAGAAGGTTTAATTGATTCAACGACGTATGGAAGGTATTAATGTGATTAAGCAGCGTATGATAAGGTGCCATGGGACAAAAAACCGGCTAGGCAAAAAAATCAATGATGGGACGTGGTGAGAGGGGGGAACCGGTTAAAGAAGAGTTCTGCCTGACAGCAAAAGGAACACTACTTTTTTTAAGCAAGTAGAGATAGGATATTTTATCTTTTTACTAAGAAATATATTTCTTGGTATTTTTTCACAAAACTACACACATAAGTAGGTTGGACACACAGGTTTGACATCCCAAAATTTCATTTTTTTTAATTTATTTGATTTATTTTTTGAATTTAATACTCGTATAGAGGGGTGGAGTATCCTAGTGCTTCAAATCCTCTTCCTACAACCAACCAAAGATAACACTTGATAATTTCTATTTATGTAAGTCATAATGGTTACTCAATTAGAGAGAATAGGTTTTGATGAATTTAGGTACTCATATACGTGAGATAATTGGGGTTGTGGTCCTACATGAAACGCTCCATGAAATCTACACGAAAAAACTAGCTGGGGTAGTTTTTAAGGTGGATTTTGATAAAGCGTACGATAAGGTTAAATGGTCATTTCTTTAGCAGGCCTTACAGATGAAAAGGATTCGATCATTCCTAGAGAAACCAGGTAGATTCTTTCATGTAAAAAGGAAGTGTCGGAATCAAAGTGAATGATGACATAGGTCATTATTTCCAGACACACAAGTGTCTGAGGCAAGGAGACCCGATGTCACCTATTATGTTCAACATAGTGGTGGACATGTTGACGATCCTAATAGGAAGAGCTAAGGACAATGGCCAGGTAGGCGGGCTCGTCCCGCATCTAGTGGACGGAGGAGCTATCTTACAGTATGTCGATTATACTATCATCTTTATGGAGCATGATTTGGCAAAAGCAAGAAACATGAAGCTTGTGTTATGCTTATTCGAATAGTTGTCGGGGTTAAAGATTAACTTTCATAAAAGCGAATAGTTATACTTTGGAAGAGCTAAAGACAAATAAGAAGCTTACAAACAATTGTTCAGGTGTGAATTAGGTTCCTTGTCCTTTACGTATTTGGGTATACTAATACACCATCGCAAGCTTTCCAACAAAGAATGGAAGTGCATTGAGGATCAATTTCTAAAGAAACTAAGCTGCTGGAATGTAACGCCCCGAGACCGATGCGCCAGGTGTCTTCCAGTTTTTCGTTGTTGTTGCCTTGTCATTTGCTTGCGTGTCGCATCTTGCCATATCATCATCCGCATTACATCATCATGTTTTCAAAACTTGCATCCGTCCAGGTCTCCCTATTCCTTCCGTTGTCCGTTCTGAGCCAACACACACTTGCACGCGCCCGCGGCATGTCCAAAATAGTATTTTATAAGTGGCTGGAAAATGTTCTCGGAATGGGTTGAAAGTTGGCATGCGGTGTTGTTATGTTGTAGGTAAGCCGCCTGCCAAGTTTCATCGCATTCGGAGTCCGTTTGATGCCCCAATGGATAACTATAGCGACAATATAGTCGGTCAAATCGTCGGACGTTTTCAGTCTCCGAAAACTGTTGCCGGGGTTCCCCTTTCTTTCCTCCCTAGATCATCTACATAGTCCACCACTCACCGCCAGGCCCTAGCTAACCTCTCTCGTCAGCCCGCGACCCTCCTCGCGCGCGCCCGAAAGCTGCCCCGGACCCGACCCTGGTAGTCGTCACCGTTGGGTCCGGATCATCCCCATACATCTACAAAACATCACCGTTTTCTTATTTGGACTCGTTTAACCTTTTATTCTTGATCGTCCATTTACGATCGGAGAGTTTCGTTAGCCCCTAACCTAATCCACCAGCGTATATAATGGGCAACCCTAGAAATTAGGGATCCTGTCCCATCCTTTCATCCATCCAATCCATCCTCGCCGCCACTCTCTCGGGATCCATCTCGCCCCCACCTGGTCTCGTCCCTCGTTTTTCAGCACCAGTCCAACCAGACGCCCCCGCCCCTGATCCCAAATCCTCTCCTGCTCGTGCAAGTCAGCTGGAGAAGTTGCGTCACCGGAGCTCCGCTTGAAGGAAATATGCCCTAGAGGCAATAATAAAGTTATTATTTATTTCCTTATAATCATGATAAATGTTTATTATTCATGCTAGAATTGTATTAACCGGAAACATAATACATGTGTGAATACATAGACAAACAAAGTGTCACTAGTATGCCTCTACTTGACTAGCTCGTTAATCAAAGATGGTTATGTTTCCTAACCATGAACAATGAGTTGTTATTTGATTAACGGGATCACATCATTAAGAGAATGATCTGATTGACATGACCCATTCCATTAGCTT